TAATTATTTCCATTTTTTCGATTTTCTTTTTTTATTTTTTATTTCTCTCTCTCTCTATCTCTTCCTTTCTGTGATATTTCTTCATTTTCTTTGAAATATTAATTTTATAATATTCATTCTAACAATTAGCTAAATGTTTAATTTGTTAACACAATTTTTTGTACATTTAATAATCATTTCAATTATTTAATAATCATTTTGTCAATAGGAATCATTTTGTGGAATTATTTTTAAATTAATTTCATTAATTTTCGAAATAATTCTCATGCGGAACAATCGCGAGAATATTATTATATTCTGTATGCGTATCCCGTATCATATTCTTCAAATTATTTTTGTCATACATCGTAAATTGGAAAGAATATAATATATAAAAGTATGCTTGTTTCTTATATAGGTCATACGAAATTTTCGGATTGAATGGCATTATGGACCACTTGAACACGAGAGCCAAATTGTAAATACGGTGAAATCGCCGTTGCGATTCAAGCTCATCGATTTGTAGAATATCTCAAATATTTCCATAACTCGACTACCATTTTGTCAATACCGAATGGCGCTAACGATATTTTTTCCAATAAAATTTAAAAAATATATAGTATATAGTATATAGTATACTTATACATATATATGTATAACATATTATGAACACATTATATACAAGGTAATTTATGCTATATTATTATGTATTTATATATATATAATTACATCTTTTAAATGTTCTCTAATTTTGCGATTTACTGATAATTAATGAGAAATTAAAATTAATAATAAAGATCTGCGAATATTTGCAAGATTCAGCAAGAAGAGACAACATTATACATTGTTCGCTGAAGGATATAAATGTATGTTAATTCGCAGATATTTATTTATAAATTTCTCATTAATCATTGCAAAAATTGAAAACGATACAGAATTTTTCTAACCACTTTTTCTTACTCCCACTTTATTTGTTTATAAAAAGAGTATATTACATATATTTATTAGACAATAGATACCCTGTATATGAAAATATACTGCAAGACAATATATATGTACTAGATATGTTTAGTATACACATATTAATATATATATATATA